GATGGGACGAGAGGGAAAGGCCTCAAGCTGCGCCAGGGCAGGTTTGGGTTGGATATTAGGAAAAATTCATGGAAAGGGCTGTCAGGCACTGGCCCAGGCTGCCCAGGGCAGGGGCTGAGTCCCCATCCCTGGAAGGATTTAAAAGACGGGGAGATGTGGTGCTTGGGGACGTGGTTTAGTGGTGGCCTTGGCAGCGCTGGGTGACCGGTTGGACTTGGTGATCTTAAAGGTCTTAAAACGATTCTATGATTATGATAATCACCCACCGGCAGCATCCTCCTAGCAAGATAACTGCAGAGCGCAGCCAGGGGAGGCTGGGCAGGTTCCTGGTACTTTCCTCATCCAGGGATTTGGTAGGACGGATGGGGCATTGCTCCTGCCCTGCCACAGGGGGAGAAGAAAGCTTTGCGGGTGAGGCAGGGACATGCAATATCTTGTGATGTGGAGCTGGTAGAGGACAGGGAGCAGGGGGCCCCTTGGGGGTTCAAGGTGAGATTGCCATGGAAGTCAGCAGAGAGCGACTGGTGCTTGCTGCTGCCCGGCTGAACGCTGCAGCACCAACACCTTTGCTCCGTCCGGGAGAGACGCGTGTCCAGTGGGAAGGGTCCTGGGCCAAAGGGGGTGACTGCGTTTCACTGCTGGTTTCTCTCACAGCTGGGCTTCAACATCCGGGGAGGAAAAGCCTCGCAGCTGGGGATCTTCATCTCTAAGGTGTGTCTGTCCTTCTGCCATTCCCTCCCCGTGTTCTGTCTGTTCCCTTGGGTGTTGCTGAGCCAGCTGGGTGGGCAGGGAGACTGTCATACACCTCATAGGCATCTCCCAACTCACAGCTGTAATTTGCCACGCACCAAGCAGCAATCAGACGGTCCCGCGCCATTTCCTGATCCCTCCCCAGCCCACGGAGTGTTGCTGGTGCCCTGCAGTCCCTGCTCCCCATCCTCCCCAGCCCCCGTGGGGAGGCCGTGGGGCTGGGCTGCCTCGGCTGGGCGGGACGGGAGCTGCGGCGCTGGCCGAGCGGGGAGTCACCGCTGCTGTCTCTGCTCTTCCCGTCACAGGTGATCCCTGACTCAGACGCGCACAGAGCGGGGCTGCAGGAGGGGGACCAGGTGCTCTCGGTGAACGATGTGGATTTCCAGGACATTGAGCACAGCAAGGTGAGCGCTCCTGCGTCCAGCTGCCGGAGCGGGGACAGGAGGGGGAGTCCGAGCATACACCGTCTCCTCCCGGCCTCTCAGCCTGCACCAGCTCAGCTGGTGGCAGCCCATAACTGATCCATTCCCCTTTCCTGTCCTCCAGCCCAGTCTGGTCACTGAGCAACTCCTTCTGCTTTCAGGCCGTGGAGATCCTGAAGACAGCCCGTGAAATCACTATGCGCGTGCGTTACTTCCCCTACAGTAAGTGCCCGCTAGCTCCGAGCCCGGCCGCCTAGCAGCCTTTCTCCTTGGGAAGCAGACTGCCACGCGTCCCTGCCGGTTCCACCTGAGCTTAGCGGTTACGAGTCCAAGGTTACAGCCTCAGATGGCGTTAAGCTAGCGGCCTGCAGATCAGAACGAACATCGGGCTTTGATTTGGGGATCAGGACAGCTACCGAGTCAAAACAGTAAGGACTGGTTTCAGCTGCCTGGATAAAAAAACGTGTAGAGCAGGGCTTAGCAATACAGTGGCAAAAGGCGGGATGATTTTTGAATGGAAACGTTAGCTTTAGAGATGTAGACGAAGCTACTTATCCTTCGATAACATAGGAATTAGTTCTGTCACTGGTGGATCTGTGCCGATGGTGGACGCTGCTTGTGGGTTTTATCTCTGCCTGGGAACGTTTAAATTCTGATTGAGGGAAAAGACTGTGTTAGCTCTCGGGTTCTGCACCCATAAAAGTTCATAGATAGAAGGGGGGGGGGAAATAGAGGTCGAGTCAAGCCAAACAAGGATTCCTTATAAAATGGAAACTGACCCTTAAGTGAAGAAAGAAGGAAAATGTGGAGCAGGGGAAGAGAGGGCTTTAAACTGACTTTTGTTCTAAATGCCCTGAAATAGCTAGAAATGACTGGCTGGGGCGCGAATGTGCTATTTTAGAGCCAGCTGCTACCCCAGAGGGTAGCAAACACTGCCTCTGCTTAGCGAGGCATATACAGAATATATGTTTTCCTTTAACATTTTGGCTAATTCCCCCAGCCATCAGCGACTGCTGCTCCTGCCCTTTCAGCCTTGCCTTATCTTCTTTCAGCCTTGCCTTCTCTTTCCCTTCCAGACTACCAGAGACAGAAGGAAAGAACTGTTCACTAGTCGGTGGCTGTCTGCTGGGTCTCCAGAGTGGCCGTCCTGCAAAAAACTCTCCACTACTTTTCCTCAACACCCGAGATGACACACCGATTTCAGCTGTCACTGGAGGTACAACTGTCCTGTTGGCTGCAGAGGCAGCGGCTCTGCTTCCTGCACGGAGAGATGGCGACAGAGTCTTATTTAGGTGGAAGATGGATGGGGCTTTAGTCTGCACGCCTTGAACTGGGTGTGGAAACAAGCTGATGATGCTGGTGTGGAAGTGGGTACCGGAGGGCAGCTTCTCTGGCAAGATCTGTGCTTCTCTTCTAGTAGGACGTAATTTAAAGGAGAGCTCTGCTGGTTCTGCATCCATCCCTTGTTGCTAGATGTGAGGCCAAGAGGGTCTGAGCGTGCTCGAGCCTTTGTCCTCCAAGAGATCAGCCTGTCCGCTTCTCTGGTGACAGGAAATTCTTTCCTTCTCCACTGTCCTACCTCTGCTCTACGCTACCGGGTTTGCTTGGGACTCGAGGAGTAAAACCCACACAAACTCGGTGCCCGTCTCTAGCTGCACTAGTCTGCCAAGGCATGTCTGTACCTCTTTGCTGCGTAACGCCCCCCACGACGCAGGACCGAGACGCTCGGAGCGCGTTTCTGAACTGCTGCGGGCACTTGGCCCGGTTCCCTCGGGTGCGGCGCTTGCACGGGTAAGGGTTTCGCTCGCTGAACTCGCTTCCTTCGCTTGGCGCAGCCCCGTCCCTGTCGCCTGCTCCCATCAGAGCTCCCCGCCGCTTCCTTTTCCCCTTCCCTCTTCTCAAAGGCAGGCGAGGCGGCCTGCTGTGCCCCGCGCGGGGAGAGCCCAGGTGAAAACGTGCCGGTTACCGGCAAATCCGGCTGCAAATGCGCGGTAGGATCACATTGTAAACGGCATGAGGACAGCCCTTGCTCTGGCCTCCTGTGCGGTGTTTCCCGCTTATCTGTAATAACTGAAATAAAACGAGTACAGCAACCGGACTTCACCTGATTCCCACTGAGAAGTCTCCGTGGAGGGCTGTTTGGCGCCGCCCCAAGGAGAGGCCGGGCGGAGAGCTGGGACAAGGGTCGGCTCCCCTTGCCCTTGCAGCCTGTAGGAGGAAAGCGTGGGGTGCAGGCGAGGTGCAGCTCTGATTTAAGGGTGTTTTTCCACTCGCTGTGATGGAAGTCGGCCCTTGATGAGCCTGGAGCGGTGCTGCAGCATTGCTGCAACAGGATTTTCTCTGTGGTGGCACAGCTGCGGCACCGCCAGCCAGGCTGCTCTTGGCTCAGCGCTGGGCCGGAAGCTGCGCCAGGCTGAAGCAGAGAAAAATACACGAGAAAAGAGATTTTCACTCAGAATAAAAAAAACTAGCTTTTCTGCCAGGGAAATAAGCACCTGGTCCACCCTGAGAAGGTAAAACAGGGAGACAGGCCTGTGTCCCATGGGACATTCGCCTCTCCAGTCACACACCAGTTTCCCAGCGTTTACGCATTCCTTGGGGAAGGAGGATGCAAGGCGACGTTTCGTGCTGCTCCATCTTCCCTTCCCCCCGCTGCGCTCGGCCGTGCCAGGGTGAAGGCTCAGCGCACGGTCCCTGGCCCCAGAGCCAACCCTGCGCTCTGCCCGGTGGACAAGCGCGACCGAACGCGCGCATCGGGCTTCGGCACACAACCCAACTGCCGAGGAGCCGCGAGGCGCCTTGAACTCTCCCCAGGGGACCGCAAATACAACCTCGGCGTTCAGGCTCCAGGACGCTCTCCCCTGCCTCGGGCAGCTTCCTCCCTGCCATTACTCAGAGGTAATTAGCTGGGTGCTTCCGCAGCCATCGCGCTGACCCCGTGACTGCTGTGGGCTAACAGGAAAGGGTGGATTCTTTCCCAAGACACATTCGTGTCTTCGGTATCTTAATTGACAGGGCAGGACCGGCCACTGCAGCCCATTCCTTTCTCCAGAACGGGAGATTCGAGCAACATCATTGGCTTTTTTTTTTTTAGTGACTTGCAAAATAGAGGCCAAGAGTCACGAGCGTTGGAGCAGCTTTAGTTTGTCAATGAATAACCCCCTGGCCGGGAAGCAGAGGTACTGCAGGCGACGCGGCCTTTTGGAGGAACAGCGACAGCCCCAGAACGAGCTGCGCTGCATGAATGCACGGCGGGTTACACCTGCAAACCGCGCCGTACGGCTCCTCTCCCTCAGCAGGGCTCGGCGCTAAGCAGGGCTGGCGTGCTCGGATCCACGCAGTCACGTCACGAGAGAAAAGGCTACAAACCCAGAGATTTTCTTTAAAAACTCCCCCCACCCCTTATTGCAAACCCCGGACGAGCCCGAGCAGCATCGCCTAACGTTCCTCCCTGCAGCGCCGCTAGCAGCACTCACCCCTCTCGCCCTTCGCTTCGGCCAGCCGCTCTCATCGGTGTTCTGCAGCGAGGCGGCACGCTGCAGCGCCGGCTCCAACAGCGCGCTCGGCGCAGCCAGGCTTTCGTGGTTGCGTCGTGGCGCTGCCGGGCAGGGGATTTCACGCAGGCCTTGTGTGGTTTCTTTCACATCTGATCGGGAGCGGGGAAGCGCAGGGGGGAGACACCCATGGAAGCTCAGGAAAGGTCTTGGCACGTGCCTCATCTAGGTGTTAACCTACTCCATTTCTTTTCTGGGTGCTCAGGAGGGGCTCAGGGCCCACTCCAGAGAAAGGCAGAAGGCCGATTTACCTCCTCGGGACCATCTGCTTGCCCAGATCCCCTGACGAAGCCGGCTGCTTTAGGAGAGGGAAATTGAGCTTCCTGTACTGAGGTCCCTCGTCCCCGGTGACCCCCCGGTCGGGAGCGGGACGACGCGGCCAAGGAAGGCAGGCGCTGAGGGGAGGCGGCGCAGCCCGGCCCCCCGCCACCCTCCGGGCCCTCCCGCGCCCCGGCTGGGCCGGAGTAAAGCCCTTCCCTTCTCGCTCCATTCCCAAAGCCGGGCTTACACCCGCTAACCTCGTCCTTCTTCCACCATAGCCTACGTGGGACAGACTTGTTAAACCTAGGGGTAAAACAAGCAGAGGCAGCAGAAGGCCCCTCCCCGGCAGCAGGACAGCGAAGGCGTTGGTGAAATAACTTTATTTAGTGTGATACACGGCTGTGGTCAGACAGTCCATACTCATATTAATAGTCACACTTACTCGGCTAACAGCTAGGAGACAGCAGGGCCAGACACACACTCAATATTATACACATCCATAGAGAAGACAGCGGGAAGTGAACTAATTTTCTTCGCTAGTTACCCCCCCCGTTACTTAGGGTCTCCCCCCTCCCTCCCCCCCGGTCCGTGACTCAGAACAACACGACAGCAGAGCAGCGCACACCTGCCTGTGAGAAGGGGACAGCAAAACCTGTTCTACGGCAGACACGGACACACCGACAAACATCAGCAATTCCCACACAACAGGGGTATGTACAGAGGAGGGGGCTGAGCTTCCCGCCGGCGCTGGGACCCGGCTACGTCAGCTGGGACGGTGGGTATGGGGGGACGCCAGAGTGAAATGGGAAAGAACATCCCGGCTTCCTCCTGCGGGCCAGCTCAGCCGGAGGGGAAGGGACAGGGCTCTGGGGAACAAAAGATCAGCGAGGCGACTTGCCGCCAGCAAGCCAGCGCGGGGACTACCAGCTCCTGGTCCGAGGCTGCCCCTTCCCCTCCCTCGAGGGGTCGCAGGCTGCGTCAGTGACCGACAGCCACCCTGCTGGGGGAGCGTCACCCACCACCGACCGCCGGCGACCCCGCCCGTCACGCTGCCATCAGTCGCTCTCCTGCCCGCTAGCATCCCCCGGCAGCATGACATCGGCCAGGCGATGGAAAAAACAGTGAATGGCTAAAAGCCACCCGCCTGCTTTATTCTCCTTGCTGTCAACAAACCTACAGACTTCTGGTTAGGACAGACGGATGAAAACCCCCAGTAAAAGTCTCTGAAAAGCTCTATTAACATAATTAGAAACCAGGGGCAGGGGGAAGAGGAGGCATTTCCCAACCTCCGAGGTCGAGAAGCGACACCAAAATTCACTTCAGCAGCATACGTTCCTCCATTCCTCTGCCCAGGTCTGACAATAAATCCCTGCCACTGCTCATCTCAGCTTTGGCAACGTTACAGCTGAACACGATTCCAAAAGTGAAATGGCTACTAGCTCCATCCCCCAGAAGGCTACTACAAAGGCAGAAGCAGCTACGCATGACTTCATCAGGCAGCAACCTAGGTACGAGAACAGAGCAGCTACCGCTGGCCTCCCATCTGCTGCAGCTCTCCTGCTCCGCCTGAAGAAGCTCCCATCTATGTGAGGATGAACAGGAGACCAGAGACCAGGGAAGGAGCCTGAGCAGCACCCATGACTCCCAGGGCAGGTATTGCCCCTGGAGTGATGGATTTTGGGTAACGTGTTTGCTTTCGCTGTTGACAGACAGGACCCAGGTCCCTACGAACCACCCTGAGGATCTCTCCCCACCCAGCCCCGTGCTGCAGAGCCTCTGCGCCCTCTTCCTTCCCCTCCCCTGGCAGCCAGCACTCACCGAGCGCCAGCGGCCTCTGGACGGGAAGATATTCCAACCGAGGAGAGCAGCCTGTGGGATGTCTCTGCTACACAAACGGGAGCAACGAGGCCAAAGCTATCAGAGTTTGGGGGTTTCCAGTGCTGCGTGTAACACGAGGGGCAAAACTCAGAAGTCGTGAGCAAGAGTTAGCCAAGATCATCCACAGAAAGGAGAAACTGAGGAGCTAATATTGTGTGTGCCCTGCAGGAAGCGAAAGCCTACAAACAGATAACCTGTATTGTCCAAAAAGGCAAGGCCAAGTCAAACCGACCGGTTTAAAAGGAGCAGCCTTTCAACAGAGGAAGTGGGGATGCGGGACAAAGACAGGGCTGGAGGGGACGGGGAACTAGTTACGATGCAAGGCAGTAAGGAAGGTGGAAAGCCCACCCCCAAGCTTTATTTTCGTCTTCCCTAACTCGGTGGCTTTTCCATTGCATTCACAAGATACATGTGAGCAGACAGGCTCAAGGTGGGGAAGAGGGGGAGAAGGAGAGGAAGAGAGGGAGTGTAAAGGGCACCGCAGTGCCAAAGTGCAACAACATAAAAAAATAAAATAAAAGACAGGACACTCATTCTGCACTCAGGGCTCATACCATGCAGTAAGAGGGGCGGCCGGGGCTGCTCCCCACCAGTAAACAGGGAGTTCGCTCGCTTAGTAGAGTGGTTTTTCAGCCCACAAAGTAGGGTTGCCTAGCCAATGAGCGGTGATGTTCTTCGGTGAGACTGGCCGGTTGGGGAATGTGCTGCTACAGAACGGGCCTGTTAGCAGGAGCACCCGCTCTCCGTGACTGGCTGCTCAGGAGGTTTCTCTAGTTTGATGTCAATCACTGCAGGAGACAAGTTAAGGAAATCGCCCGGCTCGAGGAAAAACAGGGAGAACAGAGAAAGGGATCGGTACCTGCAAAGGCTGTTTGCTGTCCCTTCTTGGTGAGGGCAGGTGTTTTAGCAGAGCAGAACATATCCTGCCTGAACAGGATTAACTGCAAAACCAGTGGACTGGGAATGTCAAGACCAGTCAGAGGACAGAGCCCAACTGGACAGGCCTGCACACAAGACAGCCCTGTGCAAAAAGAGGAAAATATTATGGTATTTTAAAACTATGCAGGTTGTATCCTGAGCCTAAGTGGGGAGAGCAGAACTTGTGCTTGCTGGTATAAGCAGCTGGGTACATTTATATACAGACCACAAGCAGGGTCCTCAATTTATGCCCATAGGTAAGCACCACACTATGCTGCTGCTCCAGCCATATCCCTGCAAAACCCCGGGAAGGCTCATCCCCACCACGTGCCAAAAAGTCAGCCAGCCCAACCTAACGAAAGGGAATTGCCAAATTCTACCAGAATAGGGAAGTTACTGATGAAAAAAGCAAGGATACTGTCTTCTTTGCTCTTCTCTGGTGTGCTGTCCATCCCAGGTAAGGCAGCAGCCACACGACGGAAAAGCTGAAACGTAGCAATAGGTAAAGCTGAAGGTTTGTCAGAAAAAAATGCGTGTTAAAAAACATGGCCTTACAGCAGATCTCAGAGTCTGAATTGTACAAACTTGTTATGCAGCTACTTTAGCAAGCAAAGCAACGATCAACAAATGCCACGAGAATTTCACCTAAGAAATGTAATGGGTTTTATTACAGAAATTATTCAATGCCTGCAAAACAGTTTTATTTCACTTGTTCCTTCTTGAACACAACATGGAATTAATTAGTGACAGCCCTTCTAGGGACGCAGAGAACAATTCCCTCCTGCACTCAGTAAGCGTGTCACCTGCCATTTCCAGCCTCGGCTGCAATGTTACAGTGCACGACTCGGGATTTCTGATAAGCAACCTCGCAAGAGACCGAAGGTTTAAGAAGTTTATGGAATAACGGGTTTTACAGCCCATCCTTTCGGTTCAGTCCTGCTGCAAAACAGCCACGTGTGAGCGGAACAGCTGGCTCAAGTGAGCTGGGTTTAAGCTATTAAGGCTGGGCTGGAGCTGGGCAGGACTATCATATCCCCACACAAAACAGAAAATGGTTTTGCATAATTTTTCAAGTCAATGCTTAGAGCTCCTCCTGCTGACATTAACGCAGCAGCTAACACACTACAGACACTGCTAGGCAGTCTGGTGAGAGGTGCTGCGTAAAGAACGAGAGGAATCACCAGCTAATGATGATTTTTCTCACAGTAGCTTGGCAGAGGCCTCTCATCCACCCCTCCAAATTGTGTTACTTGGAAAACCAAGCCACTGAGGTACGAGCGAGGTGCTGCAGTTAGCATCCTTCGAGGCACAGAAGTTCTCACCGCAAACACCCACTAGGCAAATAAAGCAACAGGACGTTAGAACTAAAGGCTGAAGTGGATTCAATCCGGAATAGCCAAAAGAAAACCAAAACCAAGTCTCCTAACCCCACTGTGAAGTTCTCCTAAGCAGCGGGTGTGCAGCAAGCCGGTAAGCACGTTTCCCAGCTGACACCAGTAGCACTTATGCTCCCTGCAGATCCCGTGTGGCTGCCTTACTCCCCAAGTTCTGTCACGCTTCAGAACGATGCCTGAACTAGGGGAGAGGGGGATCACTTTATAGCAACAGGCAGCGGGCACAAACTGAAATACGAGAAATTCTGTTTAAACGTAAGAAAAGTTAAAAGCTTTTTTTACTGTCTGGATAGTCAAACACCGTGACAGGCTGCCTGGAGAGCAGGAGTCTCCATCCTTTGAGGTATTCCAAACCCAACTGGAATCAGTTCTGGGCAGCCTGCTCTGAGCGTGAGGGTTGGACTAGACGATCTCCAGAGACCCCTTCCAACCTCAACTATTCTAAGATTTTCCTCTGCGGCTTGCAAACAGAAGCAGGAGCTTCTACTCTAGTGCATCAGCACGTGCAATTATCCCCACCGATGTCAACGTTGATTTTAGAAAACAGGGCATTAACTGTTCACAAAAGCAAAGGGAATGTACAAAGTTACGTTTGACCGGCTGCACAAAATAGCGGCATTCCCATCCCTCAGCACATTCCGTTTTTATACTTTCCTTTCTTTCAAGGTAGGTTGGCTTAGCTTTAACGGGGAATCATTGACTTGACAGGAAAGGAGCTTCCACTAGATAAAGCAGCAGCAGCGCTCACGGGGCAAGAAGCATTTCAGGGGCTGACAGTACATACAAGCAAATAGCTGACGGAACACGAACCCTAAGCAGAAGCGTAATCCTCCCACATAACAGAGCAGTAACGTACAGATTTCCTGTCTTTAGAACAGAACATCGATCTACCTGTTTCACATTGTATCCAGTCTTTGCACTGGTCTCAATAAACATCACATTCAGCTCTTTGGCTCTCTGTTCACCTTCTTCTGTAGTGATTTGCCTGGACAAAGATGCAAACAGAAGCAGAAAGACAGAAAGGAAGAACAGACAGGAAGAGTTAGAGATTCTGTGACCGAGCCGCTCTTCAAGGGAGGGCCGCTTCGCCACCCCTCACGAGAGCGCGTCGGTCACCAATGGAGACCTCAGGACGTCTCTCTCAGCCTTCGAGACCCCCAGGTCCTCCAGCCAAGAATGAAACAAGCTCGGGTTACCCAGGGAACGCCTGGACTTTGGACTGTTAATAACGGATGATCAGCAGAGGATGAAGTTTGTGCAGTGCATTTGAGCCTCATTCGCAGCATCCTCGAGGGAAGGAAGAATCCCCGTACGCTGCACTTGATAGAAAAAGCGGTTCCCCACAAGTCGACAGAAGGGGAGCCCGTGAGGTGACAAAGATGTCAGAAAGGCTCCAGCAGCAGGTACAGTGCAACAGCGAGTGCTGGGCTGCTGCCTGCGAGCGAGCACCCGCAAACGCATCTCTGATCAATACCCTGTACATACCTGCTTCACATCATATCCTGCTTTAGCACTGGTTTCAATATACATCATATTCAGTTCTGGGGCTTTTCTCTCACCCTCCTCTATAGAAACCTGTCTACAGCACTGAGAACAAATCACAGAAAAGAAAAACCAAACCAAAGAAAAATAGTCCAAAAACAATAAAAAGAAAACTGCAGGAAAAAGCCAGCCACCAACTGAAGCAACATTAACAGGAAAAGAAAAACTTAGCAGGCTGCAGCACATAAGAAGAGTGCTATTTTTAGTTCAGCTTTTTGGCCTCAGAACTTAACTTGCACCATCACTTGGTTTTTACCATAGGATGAGCGGCTTCCGAGACGCTGTATTCTATTTCACAAAACGCAACCAAGCTCAGACTGATACTGTGGCTTTGTCCAACCTTCAAAGGCCCGGTATTTCAGCCCAACGCAAATCTAACTTCCTTTTAAAAGAAAGGCAAGGCAGCTTCTTTTACTGAGACCTGGATATACGCCATAATTCCAAATTCTAGCCTGGACCAGGACTACTGTCACTCACGTTGAACTTCTACAATAAGAATTTCTAGCGCTACATGAACTTCAGCTGTAGCTGTGTTCCAGTTTTCTGGTATTTTTAATTCTTACGGCAGCGCTGGGCCAGCTGTCCTGCACGCACACTCTACATCACCTATGTGCTACCAGGAAATAACCCAAGGCAGAAAATATCCCATCGGGTTTTCCAGTTCCACACGAAATTGGATTTTGATACAAATTCAAAAGCCTCAAATCTAAACGCCAGATTATTCAGTTAGGGAGCTGTGGTTATTTCTAGCTCCCAGGAGGGCGTAAGAGGTACTAAGTGGTCAACATCCAGAGCTGGCTCAAGTAGAACATCTCGGATTTTGCTCAGTTGCTTTTGTAAGCTGATTTCAGACACCAGACTGATCCGAGGTCTTGCCACCTGGAATTCTTAATCCAAATCAGCTATACACATTTTTATCATATTTCTGAAGCTCCAAGCACCAAGTTTTACCAATATTTCCAAAGTGCAATGCACAGGACACTTGGAATGGCCCCGCACTGGAAGTGGGAAAAGCCAAACAGTTGTTAGGAGTAAGGTGGCCTGCGCGGTGGACACAGAACACATTTCTGTAAGAACCGTCGGTACAAAGCCCACACAGCACCCAGTCGGAGCCTAACTTTATCCTTTTCCGCACTGACTCAAACCACTTGCCAGTATCAGAGCTGCCGATGCTTTTCCTGCCTGGCATGGCAAACTAAAAACTAACAGCATGACGTGTACAGCGACAAAGGGCAGAAAGCATCTCCCGACACCATACCGCGCAGGCGGGGATGCCGGCTGTCGTCTCATAGGAGCATGTGGACACCACCAAAACCAGAAGGGAAAAACCACATCACAATGCGTTCTGAAGCAATGTACTGCAGGAGGGAGTAAAGCAAGGCTTAGAATTTAAAATGTGATAGCCTCCCGACAATGAAACGGTCAGACTCCTGTTAGGCCCATCATCCCAAGAGCGAGCATAAACAAACAGGCAGTTCAGACACCAGCGCAAGATTTTTCTGAGAAAACACGTATGTTCCACCTGTAAGGCTTTTCACGCTGTTACCTTTTGATCACAAGCGTCTCGTGAACAGCCAAAGGATAAGGTTTTGATTTCATGAGATCTCATTTTGTTGCGAGATCCAGGTGTCTCCCTGTTCTGCCTTTTTGAGATGCTTTCTTTTGCATCACATAAAAATTCCCCATCACTTCAATGCTTCCTATCTCCTATGACACAGGAAGCACACGTTTCAGAGTACCTGGTGTATGTGAAGATGGTTCAGTTTAAAGTATTGGGACTGTAAGGAACTGCATGGCCCATCTTCCCTTTGCCAGCTACTGACACTAACCATTAAAAATAAAAATCTTTCCTTATCTGCTCTGTTGCTGATGTCTTCACAAAGAATGAAGTCTCTGAAAACATTAAACAAAATTTTTGCTAAACCAACAATCAAGAGAAGAATTTGAAACAGAAACACAAAAGTGCAAGCCTGTGGTCTTCTGAGAAACTATTACATTGGTTACGTTGGTTAAAGTGGCATTTTAAGATTAAGAGTTTTAAAAACAAAACGCTTTATGACATGTCCCAAAACATTAAGTCCATGCGATTTTAAAAGTTTACCTCTTTACGTCTCTTGGGGAAGTCTGTTTTTGCTAACCTAGTTTTCCCCTCACGCATCCGCAACATCACAGTTTGTGTCATGTTGGACATGAAATTTATGCTCGGAGGGAAACCTCTTAGGATTTATACTGTAAAGTTTCATGCTGCATCTTGTAACAAGAAGAAACTTTACTATGAACTTGCAGTTCACATGCAGGAAGAGTCATGTAAATAGGATTATTGAAAAAAGGCGGATTTCCTTGCTTTTTGGCTTTATCTCAGCACGAAAAGAGAAGTCAGACAAAATACACTGTTGAGAAACATGGTCTAGAGATACTGAAGTAAAAGGAATTTTTTTAGGTGGGCTTGTTTTAACCAAAACTATTTGTAGAATAGCAAAATAGATAAACTTTGCATATTTCATGGAAAGCTATTTATGCTTCATTTAAAATCAACAATTGTTTTGAAGACAGACTAGTTGGCCAGTTCCTCGCTTTTACTGGTCAGAGCAGCAAGGCCGCCAGCTCCCCTCCATTACCTCTTGTCTGCCAGGTCAGTTTTGTTCCCCACCAACATGATGATGACGTCGCTTCCTCTCTCTGTCCGAACGTCATCAATCCACTTGGAGGTTTGCTGGAAAGAATTCAAGTCTGTAGGGAAGAATTAAATGGGAATGTGAGGATAAAACTTCTTTTCAGAAAGGCAGAATGCTATGCTTGTACCCAGGTGCTTCCCCAAATCTCCCCACACCACATATAAAGGACCCATAAATTGTTTTCCGCTCAGACAGAAAAACGGGGTGGGGGAAAACTGTTTCTAACGTTAGTCATCTTCTTGCAGAACTGGTTGTAACATACGAGTTCTGCTTACATGGAGTATTTCAAATAACGAGACACCAAAGCATCACTCACTTGTAATGTCATAGACTACCACGGCAATAGTGGAGTCGCGGATGTAGCTGGGAATGAGACTGCGGAACCGCTCCTGGCCTGCTGTGTCCCAAAGCTGCAGCCGAACCTGCTGGTACCAGGCCAGGGAGAGCAGAAAGAGAGAGAGCAAGAGAGAAAAGAGAGGAGGAAACTGTCCTTTAGAGAAAAGGCCATTTCTAGAATTAACTGTATGCAGCTCAGTCTGAGAAGCTGAGGTTGACCTTGTAATCTTGCCCCAAATACCACAGAAGTTGGCTTTTCTGACTCTCTTTACAGATAAAGTGCTTTAATTACCTCCTTTGCTTGCCTAGAGATTCTGCTGTTTCCCCAGTCACTGCATCCCAAAGAGCTCTGGGTTACGGCTACTACCTCCAGTCACTGCTGACAGCGGTAGCTAACAAGTAATACCGAGCTGTTCTACCCAGGATTACAGATGGGGTCTTCCCAGGACTCCCAGCCTACAGCATCTCAGATCAAGGCTTTTTGGGCAATTCCCAGATGACAGACATGCAATTCCCTCAGCCCAGACACCACGTAGTAAAACAGCATCCACTCTCCAGCGTCAAGCATCCAGAAGATGGCAAAGGGGGTTTTCATGCAAGATTAAGGCAATCAATAATTTAAGTTCCAGCAGAAACAAAAGCTTCACATGACATACAGGGCATGGGGTTCTCCCCTTCAGGTAAGCACAAGAGTCAGAAACAAGCACCAATGCTACGAGAGGTACAGTTTGATCTCCAGGACTATGCCCAAACACAAACTGACCTATTCTATACGATAGCTCGAAGGTCTGGAACCTGCCTATTTGAAACAGCAATGGTCAAAACACGCCCAGCTACCAGAGTGAGCGCTAAACAAAAGCGTTTCACAACTGGGAGCGATACCATTTCCTTCCAAGCCATTACCCCACACAGCTAGCTGTACAAACAGCACTACGCTGCCAGAAAACACCACCGCGAGTTCTATAGGAGGGCAGATACTGGTTCCCAGCTCAATTACGTGAATTGGTTAGATGTGCTCACAAAGCCACTTGCTCAGCAACGAGGGAGAGAGCAGCTGTTTCTGCACAGAACAGCGGTTAACAAGGCAGCTTGCAGGAGACTGGCTACAAGGCAGAAAGCAGTTTCAGAAGGACCAGGAATTGGCTTGTTTAGAAGAGAAACAGAGGCTGGACAGAGCACGTGTCTGCAAAGTGTCTTGCTAAAAGCAGATCCCAAACAACATCGTATCTACATCAGGGTATGTAGATCTGATGCCCTGGGGCTTAAGGAAGATTAGGGCTTATAGTTAATGCAATTAGCTCATGCTTCATTTTGAAGGCAGCCTTGATTACAGCAGCAAAAGTCAGGGCTCCTCACTCCCCCAGGAAGCTCAGGGGGACAAACTCCAAGCACTTGGACAATACTACACCAGTGCTGGAAGATCAGATGGATAATGGCAGCTTCTGGCTCTTGCTTCTCGACTTCACAACGAGGTTCCAGACAGTCCCCAAGACATTGCTGCTACACCAGACTGGTCACCCAGAAAGTTGACCAAGGTGGTGATTTAAACACTCCAACCTTCAGACTCACAGTCAAAAAGGCAACAAGAGGAAGGACCACAGAGCTGGGGAAGAACTGGTCCCGGTAATCTTGTTGTAGTGAAGGGTAACACTATTTGAGGGAAGGCCTTCAGCTAGTACGCAGGTACCATGCAGGCACCCCTGAAGTGACCTGAGAAAGTCAGTTGCAGTATTTCTGTGGCTTCTCGTTTCTAGAAGTCCAAGTTTGCGTGCATCCCTTTTGGAGGGGAAGAGAAAATATAAATAACCCACTCAAATATGACAGCGTGCTAACAACCCTACCGGTCTGGAAGGACGAAAGGTCCTCAACCAAGAACTCACCCAGCCCCTCTCAGAAACAAGGTAACTGCCTCAGAAAGGGGCCCCAGTTGCAGTATGGACTCGCACCCTGGATCTCTCCACAGGCCATTCGCATTTCAAGATGCCCTGTAGATTAACAACAACTAAGCAATCTCTCTTTTTCTTCTCAGCTTACCACATGCTAGCTAACGATTTCTCTCTACTAGTCGTACCTTGGCTGGCACTTAAGTATGTCCTGTGGGACTGCCCCTATTTTACACTACCATGACCAGCATTAACTTACGGGAGACTATCTGATGTTCCCAAACACAGTTACCACTAAAGACAATGCAAATACATAGCTCTTAAGAGCGGCAAAGGAAACCGTGTTTTCCTAATCCCACTAGTGCTCACCGTCATCACGCTCTCAGGAGTACATGAGCACGTTCCTTCAATAACACAAGAAAACTAAAAACCTCTCAGTCACTAAGAACAAAGAGCAGTAGCAAGAAAAACATGAAATTAACTGGAAAGATCAGACCATTACCAAGACATGGTGAGATCAGCTATCACTTAACTATTTTTGACACGTCTGGAAGCTGTTAAGAAAAGCCTAGACTGTGGTAAGATTTTTCCAGCTGCTTGGATAAACAGCATCCCGTACCTGTCACGAGAGTGGGGAGGAAAGATGCCAACCTGCGCCGCCTGCCACGCTGTCTCACCTAGATGTCTTCCCAGCACAGTCATCACGGCCACCTCTCAGCACTCCTCAAACCCCAGACAGACCACTTCAGTTTTACATTAGTTTGCCCCAAACCAGAAATCCTCCCAGAGTCAACTACTTAAGCAACAGAAGTAGGAGGAAGACCATGTAATTATTTGCCCTCAATGTGTAAGATAAATCGTTAACAGAAGTTTACTGTTTGTTAAGCACTTCTGTTAACCTTAGCAAAACAAACCCCTGGTCTGTCAAGCCTCACTTTAAGCTAGTTTGTGACAGAATAAAGGTGGGCCAGAGGTTTTTCATCTGCGCTATGTTCTTTACTTCGACTTTGTCCACGTGGTGTTGGCTCGCTGGTATATATCCTGTCTAGATATTTATGGTGATACTGTAGCTTAACCAAAAAAGCCAGATCAAGTGGAATCAATAACAAGGAGTGATAATGAAATAATTGTATTCATATCATCATGTCTTACACTAAAACGTTCATGCCAAGAGTTACAAAAGCTTGTTTAGAAATTACGGCAGTTACATCTCTTCTCTTTCAAAAGCTCTCTGGTTACTCATATGAATTGCCAGCTCTCTTCTTCAATGAAATGGAGTTTTGAATCCTCATAAGTCGCTGAATAGCTTTTATTTAAATGAGCGTTGTACCGTTTTAGCTGCTCTGACAGCATTCCTTTGCTTTGGCATCTGAAGTCATTACTTGTATTACCTCTCTAGCTATCCAGAAAGGAAAACAACATTGATTCTGAGGTTTAAAAAAAAACCAAAAACCACAACCCAAACCGGAAAGAGTAAAAAGCTTTCCAAAGGCTACCAATCACCTTTCATTCCAGCCAGGACAGACACACGAGAAGTCACAATCCCTGTTCACCTACCTGCCAGTCCTCTGTGTATCACTTTCATAGTTTGAGCTTTGAGCAGACCAGAGTTTTCCAGTTCCCCAGTTTCTGTATTATGGGATGGAGTTACCGTTGGCTGTGGGGGAGGATGCTCTGCTACTTCCCCTCGGCTCATGAAACACCTACAGGCCTGGGGCCGAGGGCCCATCTTAGCTCCTTTCAGACAACACCACCACTTCCAACGCATAAAAGGCACATTTTAAAAGCAAGGTCCCTGCAGCCACTCCAGCTCAATACCTACTTGTAATGTCAAAGACAATGACAGCCACAGCAGAGTCACGGATGTAGCTGGGAATGAGGCTGCGGAACCTCTCCTGGCCGGCTGTATCCCACAGCTGCAGCCTGATCTGGGAAATGGAAAAGCGTAGGGGAAGAGGGAAGGGGAAGAGCAGGAAAATAGAAAACAAAACCAAAACTCAAGTGAAATAAAAATAAAAAGAAAAAAATTGCAAGGCAAAAATAATGCAACAAAAGGAAAGTTAAAATGGAACAGAAATGTGAAAAGAGCCAACAATCCTTCTCACCGCATTCTCACAGTAACCTCAGCCTAGTGTGCCTGAGACCTCCCTCCCTCCACAGACCCATTAATAACTCACACACATGAACATGTTCTTCCATTTCATCACAAAGCCAAGATACCCCTAAAACACCTTCTCACACCATCTGCCAATGGGGGAAACAAGCATACATACCTGGGTGCATCCTGCCACGTCAGGACTCTGCCTGTAACGGCCACACCAGCAGACCGCAGCCTACAGCTAGCTAGATGGGGTCACTCCTAACCACAAGGACACCATCGCCCTGCCACCGATGAATCCACTGGAAAGCCTGGCGTCAAGTACTGAGCCACGGCAGTGGGGTACAAGCCAGGACAGCAACCACCCTCTAGACTGGCTTATCTTGGGCTGAAATCCAATGAGTCTGGGAAGATACTGAGACACAGCGAAGGAAACACTACTCGGTCTTCCAAGAACGAGGTTGTAGCTGTAACATGGAACTGTCGGCCTGACGGTCGGGACAGAGGATGGGGCTTCTCGAGGCCGCAGTTCACTTAGCGCCACAGCTCCCAGTGGACTGGCAACGTGCTGGAAACGGCACACTTACAGTTGCCCTCTACAGGAGATGGCTTTGAAGAACCCAGTTCCACATGTACTTGTCCCTTCTGCTGGCCAGTACGGGCTACCCGGGCCACATTTAGAGCCGAGTGATCTGGCATAGGTATAATTTCAGGCTAGATTATTTGGTGTAAGGACATATCAAATATGCCAAAGCATACGCTGCAGTTCGAGGCTTAGCATTCTTCATTTCAAGCACAGCAGTCAAAGCCTCCTGCAAAATACAGCATTAGCCATATCCGAGAAAGTATTTCAATGGCTGAATTTTCCTAGCTTGCGTGCTTGTGTTTCTCCCTCCTCTTATCTACGTTCAACACCTCTCTGCTATTTAAACAGGCTTTATGGGCTCTGTGGACCACTTACATAATCAGGAAAGCTAACAGTACATCCTCCAACATCGGAAAGAAAATAGTATTTTCTGGATAGCAGGCCAGCAGGTGAATGACATCCGGGCCTACACAACCGTAAGAAATCAAGACTACACTGCTGAAAACAGCACACAGGCATTCCAACTTGCCTTCACGGGTGTCAAGCAGAACTCCCAGGATCTCCTTCTTCTGCCACTGTCAGCACCATTGAAGAAAGTTATCCAAGTAGTTTTTCCCGAACAAAGATTAAGAAAGGTCTTTTCTAGTACTGAATCACGGGTAAGATGGCAGAGCAGCACTCAGGAACTCACCACACACACTGGGCTGAGACTTCTTCAGAAGCAACAGACCCAAAGCAACACAAAGGACTTCCATCGCACCACTGGCCCCTTCCTCCCCTCAACAGTTTCATACTGCTCAGGCAGCAGTAAAACTAGCAAAAAGCCAAGTACTAGCAAAACATGAACTAATGAAAAGACAAATACTGAAAGACAGGAGAGGGATGTGAGGGATCTCTTTATGCAAAAAGGAATCTCATGCAAGCTAAATCCAAAATTGCTTTACGAACAGCACCTCAGAACCACGTTACAACAGGAGCCTTTCTGTGAGGAGGAGCTATACCACCACTGGTAATCACGAATGACTTCAAGACTTGGAACTGCCTGGGGTCTGCTCAGACCCATTTACACTGACAATCCCAGAGGCAGAGCGGCAAATTCTGGGAGCAAACTACGCCTAAGGCACATAGAGCAGACAGCCCCTTCCCCGGGATACGGACATCAGCTTGCCCCAATTTTGCATGAAAGATTTTTTACTTCATTCTAGAGGTGTCAGATATTAACAAGCATCAGAAACAGGAGAGCGGGTCAGTGGTTTGATTCAACAAAGGCCATTCCTCTAAGGCTGCTGTGGGATTTCAGCAGCCATTGGAGGAACGGCCAGGCGAAGCGGCACGCACAGCAACTGCCGCTCCCATGGCTGCGGTTGCCATGCTCTCACACAGATGCCTCACTTACCGTGCGATCTTCAAGATACATTGTTTTTGACAGGAAATCAATTCCAATGGTCGCCTGAAAAGAAGAAAGGCATTAGTAACTGCAACCTGCCTTCCAGCATCTGCAAATCAGATCTTTCTACACAAACTCTGAAAAATGTTCACAAACTTATAATTGAGCCGTTGAGGCCATTTGCCTTCAATACAGTTGATAAAAACAAAGCAATCTGGATATCTGCACCATCCTCATTTCACATCATTCTTCTAACGCTTCTCAACTGCACAAGAACTGTGAGTCTGCATTTTAGCCTCAGACATTCGTGCATCTTAACACGGATCGTATCTGAACTGGCATCTCTTTCCGGTCTACCATAATCCAGCCTGGTAAGAATTATCTTATTAGAAATAACCAAAAGGTAGAGCAAATTACATATACAAACTGCAGGCAACTGTGCTGAAAGCTAAAAAGCAATGCTTATTCAGGACTTTCCAATTGAGAATATGCTTCCAGCGACATTCAGAAGCTTCATTTCCCGGGCAGTTCTTTCTGTAAGTCTCCTTCCATTCCCATTTCCACTGCTGTACAGCAATTCCGGTACAAAGACATCTAAAATAATTTACTGAGGTAGATGCGCTCTCAGGCACTTAAATCAAGCAGATGTCCTAGCCCATCATAACCCGGGAAACAGGAGACAGGTTACTGATGTAACGGATTTGAGTATTTCAAACAGATTATCTCTGGTCTTAACAAACACAGGCAGCATAACGTGTTCTGGAAGGGCTCCATCAGAACGTGAACCCTTTAGCATTGGACGAGGCCACAACAGTCAGTTTCTGTAGGCAGTACGGACTTCTGGGAGTCCTGTTTTCCGCAGCCAGGACACAGTTTATAACAACTACGATAAGCAGATAAATCCACGAGAGCATCTTACAGAAGTCAGGAAAAGAAACACAGCAAGCACAAGAGGATCCAGTTCCAGTGCACGACTTGTCCTCAAGAAAACAATCTTCTCTTCCTCTTCAACCTTAAAATTACTCCAGTCTAAGCCAGTAACTCTTTCTGGCCTGACTTAAAAGAGAACACCATAGTCTCATCCTCCTCAAAGATATCTGTTATTCCCTTGAAATACCGCTAAGTGCTTTTGATGCGACTAACGCTTCCTGAAATCTTCAGGCCTCTTACACATCTTCAGCTTTTCATCTGCAGCTTCTTCATCCCTACGCTACTCT